TGTATTTTTATTTATTTGTATTGAATTTTAATCCTTGACACATCTATGGGGTTTTGTGGAAATGTAAGGTCCAATTAAAAAAAAAAAGTATTACTATTATTATTAAAGTAAAATGTTACGAGCTAACCAGGATACGACATGTCTATAAAACATGTTTTGTTTTGCATGTATATAAGGGCTGAGAAATGATTGGCTGATTGACAGAGGCCAAAAACATGTGAAAGAACCTATTTAGAGTTTGTTAAATGTTTTATTGTTTAAAAGTTAGGTACCAGCTTTAACTTTATTATATGTAATAATTTATTTTTGACCAATTTGCTATTACCACCAGTAATTGCATGTATTGGTTTAATGTAATCATCTTTTTCCAAGTGTTCAAGCACAGAAGGAAGGGTTGGGAAAGAGGTCAAGGGACGGATATAGATTTGGAACTAGATCCTTTGGGGATTTATATTTGTATTGAAATGCATGTATGCAATGTTCTTATTACATGAAGTTTGTTTGACGAACATTGTATATGATGCAAAAGAATATAAAACGTTTTCCATTTTCTCATATTGAAGACAATATATGAGCTACTTGCAGCGTCGGGAGTTTCTTAAGGAGTCAAGAAAGCATTTGCTAGAAGAATAAGTTTTGCATTGTCCAGCAAATTTGGGGATCTGGCATCTCCAGTGTCCTTGTGTCATTTGGAAACGCAGCACAGTGGCCTACATCAGCATATACTATTTATATTTCAGCTTTGTGCACATACAGCTGCAGTGTGCATTACGGCCCTGGCCTGGAAACCTCTTACAGGCTGCATTTTGACAGACAGCTTCACAGCCCTTCACTACCATATGCCATCTCCACTCATGTGACCAACGCATCCACTGTGTGTTATTGACAAACCTACAAAGAATAATAAGCATGAGAGCTTCCATTTATTATAAAAAGGATTTGGGTATAACTGGTGAGCAAGAGTGGTACTCTCATTATCACTTTTCTGTCTGAAAAACCTTTCTAAAGATGTGACAGAGGCCAAAGAAGAGATAATTGCTACAATGTGTTCTGGTTAGATGGATTGTAGCAATAATAAATGCAACAATAAGTACAGTTTTAAACACCCCTACTTCAAGGTGAGTAGTTCATTTCCTACACCTATTATGATATGTATTAGGATGGAAAATAATAATTTGGATACTCTATAACAATGGTCTGAACTCATCAAAGAAATGACTATATCAATAATGTGTGTGTGTTACCTTGGTTCTGCATTTTTATTGCACTCTGGATCTTGACATTCTAATATTTTGCCCACAGACCCTGGTATTGATATCATGTCATGTTATTATCCTGTCAGATAGATGTATCATAAGGCGGACACTACAGTGAAGTTTTCTAAAATGAGGCTTAAGCGAGAGACCAAAAGAGACACCGTGCCTACCACTCTGACTCCTCCCTCTACACACCTGCGTCTGAGCTCAACATCAGCCGTAGCTGCTCAATAACACACCTGAGCTCATCATGGCTACGTTTAAACAGAGCCTCTCAGTTCTCTGCAGCTCAAGCTGCTGTTTGAGCAGCAACCCGCCTCCTCCCCATCGCCACCTGTTCAGTGAAGTATCATGTCATGTCTTTGGCACAGCTTTCTTGGCCACAAAGGTCTAGGCCCCGGGGAGGTCGCAAGCTCATCATTTCTATTAAACTCCATCCTGCATACGTCATGCAGTATTCCTGCCGAGGTCTAATTGCCAAGCTTAATGAACGTTTTATGTTCAAATGTAATACATATATTATTACCCTATCAATGCGTCTGCTGGTGTCTGTACATGCAATCTTGACTATAAAAATATTCAATGCAAACTTTGTCTCGAGTTTTCCAGATACAATTGTTTCTCAAACCAGTGGCCACTTAAATAACAGTAGAGATATCTGAATAAAAATCTACTAAAAGGATTTAAACTTGAAGAAAGTAAAAGGGAACATAAACCAATATAATATATAAAACCACTATTTGATATTATAATATCTGACTCCTGTGGCTGTTTTCTTAAAACATACTGTACACAGTACTGTAAAAGAAATCTATAGATTGAGCATAAACAATGTTGTGTAGCTCCTCCTTTGGTCACTCAGTCACGCCCCTTATGTCCCTCAGCCTCTTTAACGGAGCACCATGTTTGACACCGCAGACTGACTGTGATGTCGCAGACTGACTGTGATGTGATCTGATTAAGAAAGTTTTGATGTGATTACAGTTTTTTCCTTTGAGCAAAAAGGACATTATGAGAGAGAACGATGACTCTCCCTTCAAGATATTGTTGGCAAACAACAATATATTGTTACTTGGCAGCTTGGCCTGTGACATTGACATTTCTATAGTGCCTTTTTATGTTTTTTATGTTTTTGTAGCGGTTGGAATTTGGGAAAACCGGAGCAGCCGGAAGAAACTCACTCACACACGGGGAGAACATGCAAACTCCACACAGAAAGGCCCTGGAGATATCAAACCCTGGACTGTCTTGGTGTGTACCACTGCACCGCCCAGATATAGAATAGCAACTGATTTTTGCAATAAGAACTGAAAGAATGTATCTCTGTATTGTTTTTTCCCTTTCAACAGCTGTGCAAAATAGAGCGAATAATAACTCGTAGTGCTTTGCTAAATGTAATTCATATCTGCTCTCCACAGCAGTGTGTAAAAGGACATAGCAGTAGCGCAGATGTGCTTGTGTTGGCCTCCGCTGGTTTGATGGAGCTGGACCTGGACTCCGAGAGCCAGTTTATGACCTTCATGTAATCAGCAGTAAACGCGAGTGCCATCTGTCTCCTTTTACTCAATTATCTGACCCAATGCTTTTTACTGACGGACCGCAGCCAGGTAAGCACAGTGAAGGTAGCTCCAGGGCCACCGCATTCATAACTCACAACAACACACTTTATGATTTTTCATTTCGATTTCAGTCTGGCTCATAATAAGAACCACAGTGCCACCCAGCTCCTTCAAATCACTGGCTCCGGAGTGGACCCTTGATGAAAATGGTCAGATAATGATGTTTGGTCATCTCTGGCTCATTTTCAAGTGTTTGTGTTGAGGCGCCTGAGAGAGCTTTATCAACTTGTGCTCCACTCTTGCTCCCTCTTGTGGACAAATGAGGACCTACAGTGATTTTAGTTAAATTGTTATTTAGAAGCCAGTGTTTTTCCTCAGGGGCAAACAGAGTGGTAACAGTGGGTCTTGGGTAATCACTTGTATAACAGGCTAAATGCATTTTAATGAAAATATTGGTTAATCAACACAATGATATGATATTGAATGTGTCTGATTCCTAAATGTTTGTTTTTACTTCTATTTATTTCCACCATTATTTTTCTATGATTGTTTGGAATTATTTTTAAGGTACAGATTTACATTCTGTATAAAACCTTAGATTCCTGAGACAGTTGTTAGCTATGAAGCAGCAATGGATTCAAACAACAACCATGTTTTTTTTCTTTATTGCAAAATGTGTCTGACCTTTGGAAACATGTGACCTAAGCTCTAATGTACATAATGACCGAAGAAATAATCAACTACAACTAAACTACTACTAAGGCATTTCTCTCATTTCCATTTACTATCTGTGTTTTGTGTAAATACCATTTTCTATACATTATTATACTTGCATGCATATTTAAGATTGCATATTTGACAGATTTTTTGAGTCTAATCAGACTTGTGCTGAAAAATGGCCACTAGACCTATATACAGGGCATATTTAAACTAAAGTCATGAACATATTTTGCAATTGCATGTGGTTGCCTGGATACCACTGCTCTGTTGATAGTAGTACCACATACATTAAAATAGATTAGATTCAACTTTATTGTCATTACAAAGTCAGAACAATGTAATGAAAGGCAGTTTAACATCTGCATCTAACCAGAAGTGCAATAGTACAGAAAAATATCTACAACTTAGATAAAAATAGATGCATATATGGAAGATTGTACAAAACTGCTATTGCTAGTATATACATTTATTACATTACGCAAGTTAGCCTCCATTGTGCCTTCAGACTCTTACCTAACTTTGCAAAATTGTCTCTTTTAATTCTATTTTAAGACGACGCTAATTTCAAGCGTTGTACGCTAAGTTGGCATCACGTCGTGGATGTACGTCCACACCGTCTGCCTAAATGCTCCTATCTCAAACCGGGTATGCTATGACAAATCCTTAAACCAGCGATTCTCAAACATTTCAGTGAAGATCGTCGAGGCAGTGGAGCTGAATAAACGAGCCTCACCTAAATGTAATTGCCTCTTTCCATCAGGCCTTCAAACTCTTTTCCCCCATGCAAAACACATGTTCTATCTCCCAACAAAAAAGTAAAATGTTGTGAACCAACGTTATCTTTTTTAGAAAACATTTTGTTGTTTGTGAACTTGCAAGAAACAGCCCCACCAGAGTCATTATTTATCACTTTGAGCTGAGAGAGGGTGAGCGACTGTTTTTCACATTTCTGTCTGAAAAAGCTGATTTAAAGAAGGCCAAAAAATACATGCAATTTATAGTGATGGAACCAAACTGTTTTTAGAGCGAAGACCTCGGTAGATGGATTTTTTTAACTGCATAATCATTACATGTCATGGTTTGAAAGTTAGGTACCATAGATTTAATATTCAGTTTTTCTGTAGATGGGATTTAGCAACTCCCTTCACTCACCATTGCTTCAAGAAATATGGTTTTGTCTTTTGTTTGACCGACTATTTCTCCATTTCACCATACCCCTGTATCACTGAATACTGGGTGGGCTTCTCCCTGTACCTCAGACACATGTATCCACTCTGATCTGCTGCTGTAACACTATCGCAACCCTGCACTACCCATTTCCTCATTCCCCATAAATGTCATGTCCACTTCCCCGGGTCTAGGTTACCATGCCAACTGCCGTCACTCACGCGGGGCCCAGTTTGCGGAGTAGGTCAGTGCATTTCCATTACAGCACAATTCCTGAATAAGTATCGTCAACAGTCACCTGAATCCTTTCGGCTGCTGCTTTCTCATCTTTTTCTCCCATGATGCACCTCTTCCAGTGCAATCATGCAGGTGTGAGACAGTCCATTAGGCTGCGCAGCTGTTGCCGTGTGTGGCGAGGAGGGAAAAGACCTGAAGGAGAAAAAATGTTATATGACGAGATATAGGGGATGTTACAGACAGACCAAACACTTTCCCATTTTTTCATTTGCACTCGTGACAGGATTTAAATGGAAGGAAAGAGAAAAGACAACTGGAAAATTGTCGCTCATGTTATCTCAGTAGAAACAGGTATTCAAGGCAGGTGTGGATGGGATGTCAGAATGGGCCAAAAAAAAAAACTGGTCCCAAAAAATTCCCTCCCCTCAGCATTGACACACATGTGGAACGGAGCCAAGAGCCAACTTTTGGACCATCCTGTAAAGACGTTTTCGAGAGGTCAGCTAATGCTATATGTTAGCATTGGGTAATTCTCATTCCGGGTCCACCCCCTTCGGCCCGGGGTGGTATTGCAAGCATGAGCCGGGACCCGCCCCCACTGGTCAAGACCTTATGGATGGCACATGCCCCCACCCCCTTCTGCCTAAATGCTCCTATATCAAACTGGGTACGCTATGACAAATCCTTAAATCAGAGAATCTCAAACCTTTCAGTGAGGATCGGCGAGACTGTGCCACACACCGAATATGCCACACCCCAAATGTAACGGCCCCATTTCAGTGGTTGTGTCTACAATAAATAGAACTGGATATAATTATTTGTTAATTTATAGCTAACAAATTTACTATTTATTCGATTATTATTATAAAATCTAATATCTATATAAAATGCGTGTGCAATTGCAAGCCAAAGACAAAACAGATAGATAGATAGATAGCCATTTTCGTCCATGTGTACACCGCACTTGAAAATAAGTCGCAGGTATCATGTTGTAATGTACCACTTAACCAAGCCGCAGAGTTTAAAGAACTTGAAAATGTAGTGGCTTGTAGTTTGACAACTATCTATTCTATTCATGAAATCATCTCTCACCCCCACAGCTAAAAAAACATACTGGATTTTGAGGTTTTTTTTTACCGATGCAGGAGGGTCTAAGGACAGGGGTGATGACACTCGACATTCAACAACATGTATGAACCTGTGTTGTCAAATTGACGGTTTTGTAAAATCTTTCACGATAACTACTGTTGTGATTTAGAGCTGTACAGAAATAAAGCTCTAGAAATCAACTTACTCTCCCTGAATCTCCCAATGTACCTTCTTTAATCGATTAATCAAATAATACAATACAAAACATGAATTTGTAAATGCTATGCACACAACAAAAAATATGCCGACCACCACGATACATACGATCAAAGTCTACGACAAGCCGTTACCGAAAGCAGTCATTTCAACCTCGATGTGCCTAAAATCAAAGATGTATCATTATAGAGAAGAACACATAGATTTTCACGCACAATTGCACAACAGGTTTAGTCTGGAGCTCGCAGTGAGAAGGTTAAGTGCGGAATTCCCGGCTCGCTGACCCGTGAAGTGTTAGCGCCTCGGGAGAAGAAGCCCGGTGTCACGGTCAGTCAACAAACACACTGCCCTCTTTATGATAACTCAATACAGACTGTGTGTGTGTGTGTGTGCTGTATGTGTGTGTGTATTGCTTAGAAAAACCAGTGTCCACCAGGGACTGACCGCCCACAGTAAACCTTTATGTTCTCCACTCCACTTCTCAAATCCTTTTTTTATCACTGTCCATTCTGCAGCGAGATGAGAAAGCATTTAAATTTAACTGTTTGGAAAATTTGGTCGTTTTGTTTTCAATGTTGCTACTGTAATGCTGGGAATTGGCGCCCGGATTACACACGCGTTGTCGGGAACCAGTCAGGGGGAAACCCGATGTAGCGTTTGATTTTTCTTTTTTTTTCTTTTTTGCTGATGATGTTATTAACAACTGGATATTATATGTTTATAGATCTGGGTTTGTAATTGGTTTTCGGGGGCGATAGTGCTGAGCAGCTGGGGGGGCGTGTCGGGGATTGTCTACACACGGTGAATCTATAAAAGCAGTAAATTGTGCTGACAAAGCATGGCACGGTACAGGCTGTAAAAGGAATCATCATAGGCCTACACCGCACATAAAGCTCTTCATTGAGAGGATTGAATTAACAATGGAGTGTGAAAGTTTGGTTTGACAAGAGGACATGAACGCCTTGGATTGGTCGATGAACGGAAATGAAGGGGAAAGAGTGAATCTTTTGTGATCAGAGAAATTAGTCTTTGTGTGTAAAATTAAATGCATTTTATGATTACATTTGGACACCACATAGAGAGGTCTAATAATTCTTCTTCTGGAGTTATGAATCTGCAAAAGATTGAAGATGTCCACTCATTGGCAATGAACGAGGGCATTTAATAGCTAACCTAACTGTTTAAGATCATAATTAAAACATTTTGTGTGTCCCAAGACAGGAGCATGTCAAAGTAAAAAGGCCGTAACAAACATCCAGCCTCTTAAGTCACAGCGCAGTGCACCCAGGACTGCAGTGAACAGCGTTTCAATGGACTTAAGGAAAACTTTTCATTTATATGAAAGCAACATACACATTTTCAACAACATTTTTTACATTTTTTTTTATGAGGGTAGCTTTATAAAGGAAAGAGTAGCACATGCAAAAGGCCAAACCATGATGGCCAGAGCTTCACACTTGTTACCCAGCTTTTACACTGTCATTATCCAAAGTATTGTCCCTCGTGAGACCTGTCTGTAGTTTTATAACCTTTTCCACCTGACCCACACGTAAGCTACAGGCTATAAAACAGTTTGGTTTTACTTACGTCTAAATTACAGATCAAGTCAGAATGTTCATACTGAAGACATCTCGGCACAAAGACTAGATTGTGGGTTAAATAGCGACTCGTTTTGACACACCAGCCCATGTCGTTCAGTGTGAAGAGGCGACCCACAGTGAATAATGTCAGTATTGTAAGAAGTAACTGTAAATGGATGATTTGATGTACATTGAACTTGAAATAAATAAACACTCAACTCAATAACCTGTGTCTTTGCTCAGTGGGAATGAGACTTATAAGACCTTTGTATTTTATCTTCTTTATTTATTGTTTATTTGGTTGGGGTAGTGCATGTTAATGAATACACCTCTTCGATTTGCAGCCTTGGGCTAATTTGCATCCGTTGTCCCACACTCGCACTCACACTCGAACACACGTGCAAACTCCACACAGAAAGTCCTGAAGGTGGAAGTGAATCCAGGACCCTCTTGCTGAGAAGTACAATCGCTAACCGCCTCGTGGTCTGGCTGCAGCACACTGGCTCTGACCTCTCTTACTTCTATTTCATCCTGATAGATCACTTGGTTGACGTCACCGTGTCTAAAGCCTACTTTTCACTTGCAGTAGACGCTGTGCGGTTGGCGTGTCGGTTGTAAACATGCCCCTACTTCAGGCAGGTGCTGTGCCCTGTGATTATTACCCCATAATAATTACAGAGGTCTTGAAATCCAAGAGCTACTGCTCCACAAGCTCCTTATTTACGGAGTCATCAAGATCCGGACAACTTCATCATGGGAAATAAACAACCAGGGTCGCGTCCTTCACTCGTGAAATATGTCAACTTGTTTGAGAGGCAGCATGTTAATAAAACATTTTGGCACTGAGACATAAAACTCAAATATTGGGTGCAAGGCAAGCACGCACTAAAGCTTTACAAGGTTTAGACTCGAGTTAACCCTCTGCATGCAGGATGTGAGACTATAGTACACATTGTTCATTCTCACATTTGTCATTCCTATTATACTGTAAAAATAAAATAGCTCAAAACAATGAGCAAACCTAAAACACAGTGACATGGAAATATAATTATTCTAAAATCAATAATAAAAACAATAAAACAATATTGGTAAGCAGACACACAGTGTATCTGTTAACACCCTGAGGAAGGCATAAATGCTATTCAAATAATCTAAAGAAAAACACAGAAAAGCACCAGTGCCTTGATTTTTCAGCTGGGGCTTCGGGTAAATTGGGGTTAAGTGTCTTGCCCAAGACTCAACGACAGCAGTCATCAGAGGGAGTTGTGAAGTAGGTCTCATGGTGGGCTCGAACCCACAACCTTCAGACCCAAAGGCCAATGTTCTGCAAACTGAGCTACTGGCCTGAAATCTTGAGAATGTGCCAGACAAGGCTAAGCAAGCGTCGACTGGATATCATTCCATTAGGCTAACACAGTACGTGACCAGTTAGTAAAATTATAGTTTTTTAGCCTACCTTCCTAATTCTCACTTCACAATTCCTTTGAGCATACTGTAAAATTCTTCCATACATTTTTTCCCCCCATACTTTATTAAGACTTTCACACAAAATTCAAAACTCTTCAAGGTCTGGAAAACAGCATTTCAAAAGTCCATACTTATTGAGACTTTCAAGACCCTGGAGTGTTTGTGAGTGCATGAGACTGTGGGACAACAGAGAAAGTAATCTCTGATGTAAAAACACACCGTCTCATAAAAAAAGATAAATACATAAATGACGGCAGAGTATGATGTCATAGTGGTACAATGACATCATACTGATACAGGGCTGAGACAGGGATTTAAGACAGAAGGGGTGGGGATTCATTGTTTGTTCCAGATTAGCTTGGATGAGTCTAGGAACTGCTCCAGGTCTATTTTTGATGAGGAACAATGGTATAACAAGGTTGAAAGCTCAAAAAAATCAGTTTTTAAGTAATAACAATAATTCTGCTTTGAGCCTAATTAAATCTAAGCCCACAACAAAGTATTACGAAAAGGATCAGTGCATTTCTCCACTCCCAGACAGCCTTATCTGCATTACAATTTACAGCCGGTCCCTTTTGTCTCAAGCTTCTCTAGCTTAGAAAACGGCAATTTAAGCGTTCGCACGTGACCGCTTGTATGTGTATGCGAGATCAGGCAGGTCCCGTGGGAAATCTGGCAGTTAGTTTGGCGGGAAGCGGTTGCCGTAAACAAAGTGAAGTGGATTTACGGTTTCCTGATGTGAGGGTGGGTGTGTGTCCCACCAGGCTCCAGCTCTGCCATGGCTCATATGTGACAGCCTGCGAGGGGGCCGAGGGGCGGGCAGGCCGGGGTGTAGCGTGCACCCCTGTTATTCTTCCCAAACAGACTCAAACTGTGGTCGTATATTCAGCACGGGCACTTGAAGCTGGAGGAGAACAGCTGGAGCTTCCGCCTGTTCTGATGCGTTAAATCTTACTGTTCACAAATTCGGCAGCTCTAATTTACGAAGGAGAAAAATGCATCACTTTGGAAGATTGGTGGTAAATGAGTTGGAGGAAGATTTTAAGTTAGGGCTGGACTGATCAAACTGTATGTGGACTTTGGCTACCTGCCAGAATAGAAATATCATAAATTTTTTTCCTAGTTTTTATTATCTATTTATTTACAGGGACATTCCACAATAAATGTATTGTTGAGATACTGTGTATTGTCAAATTAAAAATAAATAATTTAAATGTCTCGGAACATCATTGTCCTTAGACAATCCTGCATCGGCAAGGAACCCACTCAAAAACCCAGTAGGAAAAGTGAAAAACCTCGGGAGGTCCATATAGACTAGAGAGTTGGATCCACTACCACAGACAGACAGACCATAGATCCAGGCTGTAAAACAAGGACTAGAAATACACAGTGCAAACATAATTGACCTAATTATTTGTAATTTTGTTTTGGGTCTTTTTCCTTGAAAAAAAATCAGATTTGAGGTTTATAACATCCCATGGTAGCCCATCAACGCTAAAATATATTAATACAAAAATCAGTTTAAAGTATCAATGCACAAGGTCTGAGAAGCAGGGATATATGAAGATCTGAGATGCACATTAATCAGGAGATATTGCTCCTGAATACAGAAAAAACAATTTACTACAAGTGAAGTGCACTCCATTACCTCATTTCCATAATGCATAATTTATCATATTTACCAAGTCAAAGTCTCACTCGATCTTCACTCAACCAATCATCTTTGAAATCATTAATACAAATATACCTTTCCTCATCACGGCTCAGTTCTAAAGTAAAGTCTGTCAAAGACAAATTCCAGTCTCTCTTTGCTGATCACTTCTTTTACCCACAGACTAAGTAATGTCCCTGTTGTCTCCAGATATTGGCTGTAGTCTCCTCTTGTATGTCACATAAAAGACAAATAAAACACTGCTAACACGACTACATAGTGCATAATATGCTTTATGTTGGACATTACATTAGCATGCAGCGACTCATGCATTTATTTTTATTATGGCTTCTCTTGACGATAAAGCTTTGCTATTGTATTACAGGCCTGCTTGTGAGGCTGCTTTTTACAGGGAGCTAATAAAAAGGCAAATTCATCTGTGGACGCTTGACAGTTTTCCCCTCCAGGAGAAATGCACTGGGCATATTGTAAAAATCCATGATAATTATCTGGCAATATTAGTTTTATCACTGGAGGATGTGCAGGCGACCACATGCTGTTATCGTTTCAGTGCTTCAACAACACACCGGGAAGAAGAGGAAAAACTAAAGTACAATCGGCCTGGGTGAAATTGTTTTGACGTTTTGCGCAAAGAAAAATCCAATCGCTTTTAAACATCTGGTGAAAAATTCAAATTGTAACTTTCTGCTTGATTTAGTCTTTTGATTTGTTGGAGAGAATGGAGGCTCAGGAAGAAAGCTGCTCACCAAAAGAATATTCAGAACACTTACTTGCAGCAGTAGTGGTAAAGCAGAGGCACAATGGCACAATTTTGATTTGTTATTTTCATTACAAACCAATGAATGCTTGTTTGATTTTCTACTTTTACCTTGGTAAATCGACTGCTTTGCAATCGCTTCGAAGATGACTAGTAGTTGAAGTCTATTTGTATGCATTTGGAATAATGGTAACACTTTGATAAATTGGCTAAACGAGGGGTTTGGTCAGACAGTAAAAGCCTGTGAAGAGCCAAAGTCACGTATTTTGGATAAATGGATAAAAATGATGCTAATAATATATTTTAGCAAAGTGTGCAAACTGTACTTAACAAATAAAAATATCTTACGTTTACATTCTTATTATTTTCTATTTAAACAAAACATAACTGTGATTTGATGTGATTATGTTTGTCCTTTTAAAAATAAAGTCCATCAAAAACTCTATTACAGATATACAGGTGTATAGCTTTCAATAGAATCTCAAAGACCAAAATAAGACACATACTTTATATTTAGGGAACTTGTTTGTATTTTGCAACGCCTGGAGCTGGTTGTCGGAGGTGAGTGTCTTATTGAAGGTGCCTGGACGCCCCCCTCTGGTCCCCTACTCCTACTGGTCTCTGTGGCCTGTGTCCATGCTGCTCCTCAGACTTCCTCAGAGCTTTTGTCAGAGATAGTGAGGCAGCAGACCTCCTCTTGTGACGCGTAGGGCTTTCAAAGTTTCAAAGTTTGTTTATTTCGAGTAAATATGTGTACAGAAAACAAAAGTAGAATATCAAAGTTGTGTATAAATAACCCTGAGCTATATCTACATTATACAAAATTATGAATATCATATACACAAAAGAAACACTTACAGATACTCGAAAAGGAGTGGGAAGAAGAAAACTTATTTAATCCCACCCCTGGTGCCTTAAAGAAAAAAACAAAACAAAACATTATTCATTGAGCTTCCCATTTGCTCAAGTACAAAAACAAATCAAATGGCACATTTGAATCAACTGTTCAGGTTTTTTAAGTAGCAATTAATGGGTTTAAGGACATATACACACAAGATACGTATTACAAGGATGCAAAACAAATGCATAAGGAAAGGGCTTTGAAGTCAGCCCCTTTGCTCCTGCTGCAACCTCCATGGTTACGGTCACTGCAGATCTCGTATCACTGCGTACTGCTCCTCCAGTCTCTTCCTCTGTTTTCCAATAGTCTTCTCAGCAGAGGTCAGCTCCTGCCCAAGAGTGGCCTTGTCACACACAGCTGCATTAGAGAGGAAAGTCTTTGGCCTGCTGCTGTCCCTTCAGTTCTGTGTGGCTCTGAGCTGCTGATCAATGGAACAATATTGGTTCATTATTGGGAACAGTGAATAATATAATGATAATATAAAACCTGTGTTTAGGGGCAAATTATTACAACGAGGTGAAAGGCGCTGTAGGGAAAAGTAAAACAAATATATAGCTTTCTTAAAACTTGATGAGAGACAAAGAGCCACATTGGCCGAGAGCCGCATGTTTGGCCCCCCTGGCTTAAATCAATGAGCTGCAGGTTTCCACTTACAGTAGCTGGAATTTTGACCCATTCCTCCATAAAGATTTCCAAAGCGGTGATTTTTGCACGCAATGCAGACTTTCAACTCCCTCCACAGATTTTCTATTGGGACCTTCAAATACTTCGTACATAGTAGCTCTTTCGTTGCCTGGGTGATGGGTTTTGGATCATTCTCATGCTGAAAGACCTTGGCCATGTTTCGTCTTCTCACAGAAGGTTTTTTCCATAAGTCTCATGACCCATAAATGTTAATACATAAATGTCCATACATGTCCTAGACCCTCCAGCCTCAGATAGGAACAACTCAAAAAACCCAGCTGGAGAAAATGAGAAACCTTGGGGAGGCCCACAACTTCCAGACAGTACATTGAAACGGCATACATGTAGTACATGAAACAATTACCCATACATTTCAGAACATGTATATATATATAACCTATAGTACCACCATTATTTTGAGGAGAAAAAATAAACATATAGACATGTTTGAATAAAGTGTTCTTGTCGCAACTGGTTTTGACAATGTCTCAAATCAAGAGACATTTTATACTTGGTCCTGTTTTTTTTGCTTAAGAACTTCCATAATTGCAATTTTCACCCACAACAATGTTGGTTAATCGTGCAGCAGTTGAAGGAGTATAGTAGCTCTCTTTGAAAGTAATAACAATAGATAAATAAAAGTTCAGAGTTTGAGATTAAGAGATCCTTTTAGCAGTAGTACATTTTGTAGTTGTAGTTAATAGTAGTAGTAAATAGTGCACAAAAAGTACCATCAACAAACGTTCAAGAAACACATTCTCCACATTAACAGTTGGCATAGAAACGGCACGCACACATCGCTCTTTCACGTTTCCTTCATTTTGCTCAGAACATCATTTCTACAACAGCATGAAAACACCTCCGATCTCTTGTGTCGAAGCGCTTACCCATCACAGGAAACATGCCGCTTTACTCAGACTGAGTCTCTGGAGAACGGGAGAGTGGAGCCAGCGGGAGGGACCACCTCAGAGCCCCCCCTGCAGAGAGCAATCTTCACCCAGAGCAAACTCACAGAGCCTGGGTCAGCAGCGCCTGGAGGATCCCCTGTGGAGAACAGCGAGGAGACTCTGCTCAGGATAAAGGAGTGGCTCGAGTCAAAGTGATTCTATTATGTGGACTTCATTCAAGATTTTGTAAGTGAATGGGAACTATAACATAATGATGGTGGAATCTGGTCACTGCAAAATGGAAAAACAAGACATGTCACGGCGACTTCAGTCATGTCTCTGTTGTTTGGGCTAGCTAACACCTGTGGATTGGCCTCTTGTGTCTTATAGACTTGTGCTATACTTAAAGGTATATAGAGGGATTTTCAAAGTTTTAGGAAATGACCGCCCTCTTCGCTTTTTGAACAAAACTCTCTGCTCTCTAGCACGTATCACCAGAAGGATTGACAGTTAGAAGGACCAATAGTCTTGATGATCCACCCGGAAGTAGCACATCCTCCTATATCCCTTTGATATGCACTTATCTTAGACGTTTAGACAATTCTACTCACTCACACCATCCTCTGTTCATGCTGCTTTTAACTTTGTATTTTAACTGTTTTTAAAATGCGCTTTGACCTTGAGTGTCCAAAAAGGCAATAAAGAAATAAATAAATAAAATGTATTATGATTATCTTGTGCCGTGTTCTCCCCATAACTACTGTTCTGTAGCTTGTGATGTCACATTAAAATGTCCCCAGGGTGGGACAAATAAAGGGTCTCTTAATCTTCATGAAAAAACCAAAAACACTTGAATTTGGGATAATTTGTCTTGATTTGAGTTTATTTTGAAGATATTAAAATGGAACAAGTGCCTGTCCTATCGTCGGGCAGAAGATATTTTTTTTATGCAAACTGTTGTTCTACTGGGGACATTAATACACATTTTTGCAGTGAATCTTTTAGAATAGAATGTATAGTATTGAAATGTTTAAACTCTCAAGGAGAACTCTCTTGAAATAGTTATAAAATTAGGCTTTTTAAACATACAGGGAATTGTATTACATTTCTGACCATCACAATGGCACAAATCCTCACAAAAAACAAGCACAAAATCACCATTAAAAATACAATTAAAATCTCACAGGTAATCAAAAACATTTAAATCACAGAAGTAATTAAAACAATTAAAATCACACACAAGATTACAATAATAAATAACAGCGTTCTTCCGTTGTATGCACAGGCAACAAGAACAGTCTTTAACCTGGACATATATGGTCAAATAGACATTTTGACCAGATTGCTGTGCAGCCCTCCTACCTCTGAAGTCGTAAACATCATTGTCTTGAAGAAGGGAGGAGGAGAGCAGGCGACAAGTGGCCGACACAACAGGCTCACACGAGATGGAGAGAGCTGAGAGCAAGGTGTAATTTCCTGGGAGTCCCCCGGAGAATCCCAGCTGCTGCGAACAGAGCATCCACCGCGGAAGACACACAAGTTTGGGATGCTCTCTCAGTGGAAGTAATTGGTTCCAGATGCTGCTGGGGAGAAATGGGGCAAATAAAACAAATTTAATTGCAAATAAGTCACCTGGTGTTTGATATTTTCTCCTCTTGGGCTGGAGAGTGTGGGGGAGTGAAGAGAACGAGGAAATACATTTACCATGATATACCCAGAATGCACCCTGCACAGATGTGAGGTTAATTGGGTTTGTTGACATTCAGAGAAGGTCGGTGTAAAAGTGTTAAACTTTCACTCTAGGCCTGAAGAGGGCAGACAAGGCTAGTCAGAGTGAACGAGGGGCCAGCAAAAGAGGAGGAGCAGGAGGAGGTGGTCTCTGGCACACAAAGCTCTAGGATTTGGGAATAAAATGGCATTACCTGCTGATTCAAAAGCCAGACATGTTCCTTCTTGCCAGATCGAAGGAGAAAATTAAAGATAACAGATTATGCATTATTTGTGGTCGCTAACATTTAAAACCACATGTTATACATTTAATGTGTCCTTTGTCACTTCATGTTTAAAATAATGTCATAATATCTTAAGTACATAACATACATTGAAACAAAAATCATTGAAGATAAATGGAATCTGCACATATTGGTATGATATCATCAGAGAGAGGAGATGTATTTATTTAGTTTTTTTCCAAATTTGAAAACTAATCAGTAGCAAACGCGCTAGCCATTGTACATATCGCAGTTTCACTTGAGAAATTGACAACACCGAATTAAGGGTAATTTTGCTTTAAAAGGCAGAAAACTGCTCTGTGATGTCATAGTGGTAACTGTGGTGTCATACACAGGACTGAGACTGGAGGTTTTAGACAGAAGGGACAAAGTTACATGTTTGACTCGATCTCTTTTGATAATAATACACCTTTTTCTGGTCAATCTGCCCTTTTGTATGGTAACTGATGGCAACTTGTATATGAATACTATCCAGTATGACTTTCACCTGATTTAGACATCTGTTTAACTAATTTAATACATGCCGCCACTTCACCAATGACATCATCACAAGAACAAACGGATCACTGTCAACCACGGTTTTGAAACTGAAAACATGTATTAAAGCTGGGGTACCTAACATTTCAAACATTTCACAGGATGTATATTGCGCTCATAACAGTTTGGTTTTATCACTAGTTTTCTATTTTTGCCTTATTTTGTAATGATTGTATTAGACCACAAAATGTGTATATGACATACTGTCCCTCTAACGATAAAATGACATCCATAAAACAGTCCCTTGCTCTCAAAACACCACTAGTTTTCATGTTCATGTATGTTTTTTGTGCCTCTGTCACATCTTCAGACAGAAGAGTGGAGAACCACCCTCAATCAGTCACAGAGACTCACGGGGCTCTGTCTTACAAGTGATACACAATTTCTAAGATTAAGACAACAACTTTACTTTTACTTTCTACTTGCCTATGAAAATGTTAGATACCCCAGCTTTAATTATTAGCTTTACAGGTTCCAAACAGATTCTATTCTTCTTTTAGCAACAGTTTTTTCTGTCTGTTTCTCCCTGCTGCTACACCTTCAGTTGTTTGTGCAGTCCTATCTCTTCTGTCTTCTCTCCCGTGTTATTGAAGCTCTGCAGTAAGCACTGCGACACACAATACTGAGCAGGGACTATTCAAAGTATAAACAAAATATTCATTTGTCCCAAAAACATCTTTAATATAAACGGCAGCAGGCTTCAGTAATCTGATGAAATGGAAACTTATTTCTGTGCTCCTATAAAGGCAAGGTAAAGGGCAGCCATCCACAAACAAGACTTTATAGTGAGACAAGATCTCACTTCTCTTTATCTTGATGCTGAGGTGGCACTGCTCTGTGGCAAAGATCCTATTTTGAGCAGTTTGCGGAAGAATGACAATGACAATGTGTGAGTATTAAGTTTTTTATAATGAAAGTAACTACTACTTCCAAGATGGTGAGAGCACAGAGCATCATTTGCCTCTGCATGCCTCTCTCTATGACGATAACTTATCACCATGGACACAACGAGACAAAGGTATAAGAAAAATATATAATAAATGCAAGATTGAGAACACACAGGGCTGGGCGACAGGCAAGTACAGAATGTATTATACTATGATTTTGGTACAGTAATAAAGGGAACAAATAGTCATATGAGGTTATAAATCACAGTTCTTTCCTGTTCACATATAGTACATACCATGAGTGAACTTATAAACTCGATCTGGTGTTTTATTCATTTATTTCTCTTTGATCATTAATCCTAACAGGACCAGTAACTGAAATACTAAAGAACCATGTTACCAAGTCCGATGTAGCCTGGTCTTTACCATCCGTGCTCTCCGCTCAATTATCATTTCCCTGCATGTAACGTCTGGGTCTGGTCCCTGTGTTTGAGATTACAATCGGTTGAATTCCATCCGACCAATCAGCGAGCGCGGGAGGCGGGTGTTGTAGTTAGTTGTGGGTGACGTCAAGAGTTTGCGTCGAACAGGCAGGTTGTAGTTTGGTAATGGTGAAAATGCGATAGTTAAGTAATCCGGTCTGGTTCTATCAAGAAAATGAAGCCGGAGCAAGAGGAATGTTTAGTTAAGGTAATTGCGGGCTCTGTTAGCGTCAAAGGAGATGGCTAGGCTAAAAGCTAAATGCTAACGACTCACTCGGGTGCATTACATACATGACTGTAAACTCAGATTTAATTGTTTCCATCTGAAAATCTCTTAACGGAGCACAATGGAGCACCTCCAGACCTTAGTACAAAATGTAATTTGAACTATGGTGTGGTACGACCAGGTTAAGTCCGATGCTGAGTGATTGTGGAATCACTCCAGGCGGTAGCACGACTAGACTTTTGGTAAATAAAATAATTTTTTGGTGAAGACGCCAGGCCATGTAGAACCTGGCAGAGTAGACAGGCTAATTTATGGACATGGGTCATCTGCCCCTTTCGGACCCCTATGTGTTTCTGATTATCCAATCAGAGAGCATAATCAGTGTTGTATTTGTTTTGCCAGATTTTAGGGGAAATTCAGCTGGTCTTGGCTTTATTTAAATTTGCAAACATAAAAAAGACTTTATTAAACCAGTAAAGGAGTATATCCCTACTGCCCCTGTAACTATGCAATGAAATCCACAAATTAGCCCCTTGCTTCCTACATTTTGCAATAACAAAAATCACAAACATAGCACCACACATTTGCTGGAATAAAAGAAGATGCAAAAATCAGTCGAGGCACAGAACTGTATCTGTGTCTGGCTAAACTCCAGCAGGTGGCTTGCATCAGTAACCAGTGCTCAGGAGCTTCATGTGTCAACATGTAAATGCAATGACTTTTGCAATGCAATGACTTTATTATAGATCTCTAAGAGTGCACAGTACATATGGTCCTTTTGCATAGTTTGTGGTTAGAAAACAAAAATCTATAACATTTAACTTTCCAATAGACTTAGCAGCAGTATATCCGGAACCACCATATGATGCAGTAGTCACATGAGCAGGATCATAGAATGGAGGAATGTGCTGTATCCGTTAATGATGCGTGAATATGCGGGTTTAATGTCCCATATATGAAGTAATATAAGTATTTCAACAGTTTCTGAAGGATAATTTGGATTCTAATAGCACTCCCAAGTACTCAAATTCCTCTATGTGAATTAATTTGTTGCCACCTGCAGCCAACTCTTAGTAACATCCTGATACATCATTTATCTGTATTAATTTCACCTGGACAAATGTTTACATATAAATTCAATACAAACAGAGCAAACAGACACTTCACAAATCCGTCTCTCTTTGCTCTGTTCTTATTCAAGCAGATGTTTCTAAATACCTACTTAGTTTGAGGCTCATTTTGTGCAGACAGAGGCGCTATCGATGAGCCCTCCTCGTTCTTCCATTAAAATGTGCAGGAGCAGCAGAAAGTACAGAGGAGAGAGCGCTGCAGTGGCCTGTCCAACCATCCTTTGTGGAATAGAACGGTATTAAGGAAACCTATGTCATCTATTCAGCAGTAATAAGAGAGAACTGCAGTTTTTATTCTGTGCTTTTTTACTAATGCTCTGGTGACAACAACTATTGTTTTAAAAAGACAGAAAACTCTTGAGTGTGATGTCATAGTGGTACAATCTCATCGTCTGCTTTATATGTACAGCACATTTACAACAACACCAGCTCTCCAAAGTGCTTCACAGGCACAAAAGAAAAAAAGAAAGAAAGGAAAACAGCATTAAATGAGGACTGAGGAGCTTTTAGACAAAGGGGTCGGAGTCACATGTTTGCGCCCGAAGTTCTTGATATTAAGATCCAAAAACCACTACAGATCTCCAAACAGCAGCTGACAAGAGAAGACAGTTTAAAGTATACCGTTGAAACATGTAAAGGTAATAACATTGATAACTTACTATTGTCTGGTATAGAAGAACCAAATAACCTTAAACACCAGAAGCGTTTTTGATCAGGTTGTGACATTAACAGAAAAAACAGATAATTTTGAATATGTCTCCTTTAATACTAGCTGCACAAATCACATAACAACTGTTCTACTCCAACCCTATACATTATTTGTGACTAAAGATGCAGTGGTCTTTTTCCCAGTGAGGTAAATGGACAGTAACAGAGCTTTTTCCTCAGTTTTGATACCGCCCTTGGAGTAGTGAGAATGACTGCCATTAATCTGCAGTAGATATGTCATCACTGAATCCATAACAGTTCATAAATTCTGGAGCAATCATCTCTCGGAGCCATAACGATCCACAAAGCCCTGGAAAAACAATGGGCTGGTCGCTGTAAGATGATTCGTCTGTGAGCTTGTCGTGTGGGAAACAAAATAATAGCGGCGGGTGCCACTCTGTTCAGTAATTTGGTGGAAATGAGAATGAATCAGGCTAAAAGATAAAAGCTTGACACGCGCCACAGCAGATACCGTAAAGAAGCACAGCGGAGGACTGGGTATGACTGGAGGGGGTTTAATGTGAAAGGGAAAACATCAGGAGAAAGCAGTTGGATGTAATGTGCTGGGAACATGCTATTCTCCTTTCACATAATATATTTTCAACCTCTCAAGAGTGTTTTGTCTTTTCCTTCTCTCAAAACAACCAACGTCATTCTTTACCTAAAGGGCAACTTAGTGGTCTAATAAAGTCCTTACAATAGCAGTCCAACAATTTTGTTTTGCCCTAACCACATGAAAACCACCTGCTGGTTTAGCTAGAAACTTTGCACATAACGTATGACAAGTGATTTTTGTGCCTCATTTCATTTAGATAAATGGTGGTGCTGATTTTTGTTTGTGAATGATATGTCTTTGAATGGGGCGACAGTAGCTCAGTTGGTAGAGCATTGGCCTTTGAGCCTGAAGATCGTGGGTTCAAGCCCACCACGAAACCCACTTCACGACTCCCACTGATGACTGCTGCCGTTGTGTCCTTGGGCAATACACTTAACCCCACTTTGCCTGAAGCCCCCACTGAAAGATCAAGGCTCCTGTGAACTCACCACCTGCAGGAGGATCAGTGAGGGGCTGGTGCTCTGTGAACTGGGTGCAGCTCTGACTGCCACCCCCCCCGACCCAGAAATGGATTAAGAGGAAGAAAATGGATGAATTAATTGATGTCTTTGAATGAGGAAAAAATTATGAGAGGCAAAATAAGCTGGCAACCCCAATGAGGGCCTCATTCTGTTCTCTGATTGGAAAATTGTAAACATAAATATTATTCATATATTGTCTATTGATTTTAACCACAGAGAAGAAGGTAACATTACTAAATAAAAAAAGAGTCAAGACAATCTTCAGACTCTCAAAACAACAGGTGAAAAGGTGAGTTGTTCTGACAGTGCAGGTGCCTCGGAGTATAAGGAAAGGTTTTTTGATGAAAAGCTGGGGTTATTTGGTGAGTGGGAATGTCCCTTATGTTTGTCCACTATAAGGACCCATCGAGAAAGTGAATGACCTCCCCTGTTTAGAAAAGTCACGGCGGCGCAGCGCTTCATTCAGAGCACTTTACCCGGAAAGCCTGGCCAACTTAGAATCACAAACCAGGTCTTGCATCAGCATTTGACCGTCTCGGGGGCTGCTGACCTAATCGCTGCAGCTAGCAATGAGCGCACTAATCCATCAATGTGACAGTGGCACTGCCTCCGCCCGGCCCGCTCCTGCGCTCACGTCCACACCGATGAACAGTGACGACAGCCGACTGGACATCTGAAAGGAGGACACCATGTTCAAGGCTCAGGGGGATTGTCGCTGGAAGGTCACGGACACCGACACAAGAGCAGAGGTGGTCACGTGGTCGCGTAGAGGTGAGGCAGGTCGTGCAATTCATTATGATGTATCTAGAACTTCAAACATCGCTCTGGATGAAGTAGTCACGCTTGAGATCTTTTTGTTTCCAGAACTACAGCTGTGCTTGAAAGTTTACACACCCACAAAGAAATGTTATGACCAACATTTGGAGGTTATGAATGATAACGATGTTTCCCCACATCGATTTGTAATGTTTCAATTTTCAAATTATAACATTAATGACGCACTTTGGGGAAATCTCAACTCTGCAGTTCATGCAAGACAGCCCCGGAACTTACAAGAACTGGAGGCTTCTTGCCAAAAAGAATGAGCAGGTTTACCATCTGAGAGAATAAAGAATCTCTTCCACAACAATCACAAAAGACTCCAAACTGTCATAGATGTTGAATACATGCTTTTGAAAACTCAATTCAATTCAATTGAATTTTATTTATTTACCTCTGAGAGGACTTTACAAAGGTATCGATTCGCCACTAACAGATCAGAGAATCAAACAGTTCCAAAACAGGAAATGCAACAAAAACAAACACAAAGGGACCATTTGTCTATAGGGGGCGATAGAGCCAGGACTCAGGCTGTTGTCATTGTAATATGAAAATAAAAAACATGTCTACTCCATCAGGAGGTCCTTTTGACTTGACCCTGGCAAACCTGCATGCAAACTGCACACAGAAGTTGGGTTTGATTATGGAGATGGAATCGACCCCGACGGACCTGGGGTTTGTTAAATGCATAACTGAAATAAAATCACGACTGAAGTTAGTCAGTTGTATTTTCAGTTGGAACTTTGGAGTTGCAAATGTGAATCCAATCAGAGTATGTGCTCTTATGTATGAGACGCAGAGAGTGTCCTTCCTTCCTCTCATCACCTGCACTCTGCGGCGTCCTGTGAATACACTAATGTCATCACCGCGCTCCCAGGGGCCACACCTGCTCCTCCAGCACACGGCCCTCATCTAATCATCAGCAGCAGCACTGGTGGATCTGCAGCTGGAGCACTGTGAATGAGTCCCTCTGCAGAGGCTGGCAAGGGAAATGATAGAGATGTGTGTGTGTGGGAAGGGGGGGGGGGGGGATGTGTGTGTGTGTGTGTGTGTGTGTGTAGGAGCTGATGTGCGTGACGGTGTTAGAGGCATGTCTCACTCCGCTCTGTCATCCACACTTCCCCTAAGCTCAGGGTGGTAAATCATAATATGGAACGGATCTAAAGAGAGATAAAGAAAATCTCATCCGATTTGAAGTAAGAAGCTAAATGTGTTCTGAAACTTTTGTCTAAGAGTTGGCATTCGTTTTTGAATAAATTGGTCAGCCGTGTGAAGTGGCATATCAATATATTAAGAAAAGATCAAAACAAATATATCTTGGTTAGATTTAAATTAGCACAATCTTACTGGGACCTTTTCCACTTGGGGGGGCCCAGGGGTGGTTCAATTTAGGGAGATGGAGGCTGGCGTCTGTTCGTCCTCCTGTGCCTGGTTCCCTGCTCTCTTTCATCTCAATGACTTCTTCAAGGTTCTAACTTAACTGCTAATTTACACATCACGCGTTACAGCACGTACGCAACTTTTTTCCATGTTAACCTATGATGATATTTACACTTCTAGCGTTATACGCGCGTATGACGGACGTATGACGCGAAGCTGCGCTCTAATTTAGGATGGATTTCTAATTTTGTGCGCGCACCAACGCGTCTCCCATTGATATCTCATGTAAAACATGATTTTTCTAGCGGTCCTTGGCTTTAGATCACATCTACACACACACACAGCACTTGTGTCTAAACATCAGCTGGAGGAGCAGCAAGTTTTACAGTGATTCTGGACATCGGTTTTTTTCTTTCATAAAGTCTGGCGTCTGGCCAAACCAGCGCACAGAGACCACGAGGACAAACACATGCATGTGATTTGTGTTGCTCTACATCAGTCCTCTGGCCCGTACTGTCCTCTACACTGCTCCATAGACTACACAGGGAGAGCATCAGAAGAAGCGAACCTGCGCGCACGGACTGTGTAGATACTCCAAAAAAATGTTACGCGCAGAGAGCACGCAGTAAACGCGTACGCGCTGTTACGCCTACTGTGTAAATTCCCTGTAACAGGGCAAATGAAAGAGTTCTGTTGATTGGCGTCATGGCTGCCAAAAAGCTTATTACCACAAGGTTGAAGCCCCTTCACTTACTGTCTCACCGCCGTAATTTATGACTTTCATACAATACAATACAATACAATTTATTCTTGTATAGCCCTAGGTCACAACAGAAGTCATCTCAGAGGACTTAACAAAACCATTGAAATCACCAACACAGGTCAGAGAATCAACAGTTAACACATGGAGAATATAAAGCACACACAGAAGAAAATGTCCATACATGTTGTAGAATGCTAAAGTGTCCTGATCATCACCAATCCTTTCTGTTGGACACTAACTGTCCAACAAGACCCTCCTGCATCGACAAGGAAAAACTCTTAAAAAAACCCACTGGTTATTGCTTATTAGGAGTTGTCCACAGAATGTGTCCACAACACTAAAGAAGCTACTATCAACATTTGGACCAGTGTATAGAATGTAATGATCCATCCATTTTCTTCCATTTGTTCCATTGCCAGGTCGAGAGGGCAGAAGTCTGAGCAGAGACGCCCAAACCTCCTGCTCCACACATGCTGCTTCCTGCTCATCTGGGGGAAACCAGAGGTGTTCCCTGGCCAGCTGAGACACATAGTCCCTCCAGTGTGTCTTGCATGGGTCTACCCTGGGCCTCTTCCTGGTGGAGACTATATTACCACTTCTTTCAATATTTTTCTTCTTATTTTGTACTGATCAAGGTCATGGGCCATTTCTGTTGGATTGTATGTCCTCGGCCTGAGCATGTGTGTGTGTGTCTGTTTTTGTAGACACACAAATAGTGAGTGTTGACCAAGGATGCATGAAATATTTTTGATTCTTGAAGTTTGAGTTTAGTGTTACATTGTTGGTAACAGAAACTTTATAGTGTGTTCTTTGGATATAGTGTCACAGTTGTAAAAGTGGTCATGCAGGATTAGTCTTTTTTTCCTATTGTATAATGTATAAGATCTATGAAAAACAGATCTACATGTTCATAATGACCAAAGAAAATAAAACTAATAGCATTAATAATAACACATTTTGCCCTATGCCACTTAGAATGTATGCACTCTACATTGACTATATTGTCACATTGTCCAAACATATTGCATATAAAGCTTTATTCAGACCTATTCAATTTGCTAAGTGTGAGTCTGGAACCACTCTTTTCATGGTGTATGTTAAACTTGGCAGACATAATCATTTTAGACGAGAAGAAGAATTACATTGGCCATGACTGACCCTGTGTCCTTTAAATATATGAAATCCTTTTCACTGAGAGCCAAAGGTCAGGACTTTTAACTAATGCAATTGGGTGCTGTCATTGCACATTTACATAGTGATAATGGATGGATTTATTCATTTATTTCTCATTTATGCTTTGCTTCGGTGGAGGCTCCTACAAAGAACCAGTCACATTCAACGTTGGTGTCACAGTGATAGTGAAATCACCCATGCAGTATCTAAACGGTCTTGTGTGCAATTCTCATGTTCAGTTAGACTTGTGAAAAAAAACCATAATTAATAAATCTGTCTTCCATTTGACTTGGCACTCATTAAGGCTTCACATTTAGCCCTCTTTTGTGGCTGATTTCTGGGGTCAAGAAGCAGCAGGTCTGGGACAAAGCAGGAGGAGCAGGCTGTCTGACTCGAGCCCCACACAGAGACAGGCAGAGCAGCAGTGGGACTGTAGCCTCCAGGGACAGCTTAACAACACACATTACAATAATTAGGAAACAAAAAATGGCCCTGTTTGAAATTAGCCCGAGACATGCCCCTCTGAGACGCCACGCATGCTTCCAGAAAGGTCCAGGACGAGGACAGAGACAGGATTTCAGAGAGACGTGAATGATGGGGGTTGTTCTGAGTTTTAGAAATGCAGCCTCGCGGAAATTCAACTCTGGAAGACGTCAGCCAAAGCCACCCCTTCCAGGCCGGCCTCGCATCCCCAGCCTATCGCACAGCAAACGCCCATTTCCAACCAACCTATGCCGGCCAGGCCAGCCGCTTAAAAGCGGAGAAACTCCCACTTTACGGCCTCCTCGAAGCCTTGCAAACCACAGCCTCCCCTCCTCCTCCCTTTTCTCACCCTGCCTCAATCATGCCTCTTCCTGCTGCCCGAATGCCGCCACCAGTGCCTAGGTCCCGGGGGATTGTGCGCGCACTCTCGCAGGAGCCTCGCTGACTGAACGCCGCACCGGGGCCTAGGGCGCCAAACTACCTTTGAATAAAAAACTTCAAACGCATTTTGTCTCCTCAAAGTCTCTCCAGGTTGAAATGTTATTAGCCAGATATTTCCAGTGTCTGAACCAAACCGGAAAAATATGCAATACGTCTTATGCTCACAACTGCCCCATTCATACCCAATTTAGCAAGAATATTAAGTACAATGTTGAAGGATTTAAAATGTGTTTAAATGATTTGTATTGGACTTTGTAGGGGATATTTGGACACACATTCAGTTGTATCTATTGTATGTTATAGAGTCCACTTGATACTATGTCAAAATTTTTGGTTTTGGTAAACATTTGTTGAACTTATGGAGGGTCTCAAATGAAACCATTCACAGGCCACAGATAAACCCAGATCTTCTCATCCTCGTCACAACTCGTATTACTTTAGTGTTTAAACTTTCAAGATTAAGAATAATTTGATCAGCAATTATTTTTGAAAAATGTTGGAAATAGTATCCTAATTCCTACTGTTCTGTCACTTGTGATGCAACACTGAAATTTCCCCACTGTGGTACGAATAAAAGATCTCTTAATCTTAATTAGTCAGTAATCGGCCAAGACATCACCATTGTTTATTTCCTTGTTTTTTATTTAATCAGTGGATGTTACAGCCAATTCTGTTTTGTCAGACTTGAACCAATACAGTCACTTATACTGTATACCTACTGTACATTGAAATCCAGTTAGTGCCCGAAGAGTCGCATATGAATTGTTGTATTTATATAGAAGTGCTTGCCTCCACCCAGCAGGTTAATTGATCACTGGTGTGCGTGTGTTTGTCGGTGAGTAACATAACTATATGTGAGGATTTGGACTACACTTTCAGGAAACATAATGGCCGAGTGAACAACTGATCCAAGAGGATGATCCGAATCTCCGTCTGGATGTAGAATTATTATTACAGAATCAGAACTATGCCTCTCAACAGAGGTCTGTGCTCTCTGAGTGCATTTTTGTGTTTACTTTGATACATTTTGTTATGTTGTACGAATACACCTTGAACTGTTGAACTGAGCAGACCATAAACATTACCATTTTTTATATATTGTTTAAATATAGTAGTATAATAATCATTTAAAAATGGCCTCGGTATCGCCTGCAGAAAACCTCTTGTTCTCCTCTAACAGTATTGTGAATGAGATTGGTATTAATAAAATGCTAAATAAAGTGAGAAACAGTCAGTGGTGGATGATGATGCATGTTTGCTCTGTGCGGGCCTGTCCCAGCTTTACTGCTCCTCCGCTGGTCTTTGAAAGCTCCACCTCTATTCCAGAGGCCAGTTCTGCTCCGGCTCCTCTCCATTTCATGCTCCTGTCTGAACATTTGCCTCTAATGTCTCTCCACAACACTAAACACACCATTGTGCTGAAATTACATGACAATAAAGCCATGAATGATGAGTCATCTTTCACATTCCGCTGGCTTCTTATTCAATTAACTTTCCAAATTAAGACTAAGGGTGGCCATAGATTTTTCTCAATCTTACACGCCGATATGCACGCCAGATGCTGAACGAGGATGGAGAATCGATTTGCATGTTTTGAAAGAGAGACCTGGTGTAATTTCACAGCAAAGACTTCTACTTTTACCAAGAAAAAACAACAACAGTAACAGGAGATGTTGGAGGATTTCTCAGAGAATTTATAGTTCACCAGGGAGGGGTGATT